GTGTACTGTGTGGCTGTCACATTCAGAATGACTGAACGAGTAGAGCAACGAACTGCATCAAATTTTGCATTAAGCTTGAACATTCTTTCACGGGAAACTATTCAGATGATTCAGAAGGCCGCAGCTATGGGCAACTGGTGATTGGCAGCTTCATCACGACCACATGCCTGCTCATGCATCACGTCTCATGCAGTTTTTTGGCGAAACATCAAATCACCTCATATGGTCTGTCCAGAAGGTATCCAGCCATACGCTATGAAAAATAGAGCTATTTCTTGAAGGAGATAAAGATATGAGAAACATTGTACATTGGACAATGACACCTCAGTCCCCTTCAAAGTAGGCATCTTGGGACCTCACACAGCTCTCCCAGTGGCCATCAGGTGTCCCCAGCTGCCCCCTTGTATTCTCCTGGATCTCATCATTGGCCTGGGATCTCTTCCCTTTCAAAGGTGATTTCAGTTTTGGGAAAAGCCAGAAGTCACAGGGCACCAAATCTGGGCTGTAGGGTAGCTGAGTCAGCTGGGTGATTTGACATTTTGCCAAAAAGCAGTGCATTTTGCCAAAACTGTTTTTTATATATAAAACTTTAACCATGGCTGAATAGCTCAGTTGGTTGAGTGTCTTCCTCATATGCCAAGGTTGGGGGATCAATCCCCAGTCAGGGCACATATATGAATGAATCAATCAATGAATGCATAAATAAGTGGAACAAACTGATGTTTCTCTTTCTCTCTCTACTTCTTCCTGACACTCTAAATCAATCAATCAATACAAATTTAAAACAATACATATGTTGTGAGAATTCAGTGGAAATTCCTGCCAGAGCCCAGAGCCAGTTTAAAAAATAAGTAAATAAATTAATAAATAACTTTAAACCAGAACCCTATTCCTGCTCTAAATTACTACCATGCAGCCTCTCTTCCCCTGTTGCCTGACTTTGACTTTTTTTCAGGAGGCTCATTTCTCCTGATCTCTCCTGGTAGGTTTCTGATTGAGCAAGGGGAGAGCAGGATGAGAAAACTGTTATTAACAGGTCTGTGTAATTTGCATTAAGTGTAAGAGCTAGTCTCACCTTTTTATTTGTTTTTATGATACTGTCCTGCCCTTCCCCTAGGACTCTCTATGGAATTTTTTTTAATTAGAAAATAAAATCAAATGTTTTTGAAAAACTTGTGATAACTCCATGGATTACCAGGGACACCTAATCTTGAGACTGGCTTTGTCTGTGCCAGAAGCTGCAAAGTCAAACGCCCTTCGGGGCTAGGCAGGTCCTGTCAATAACCTGGCAGGCTGGGTAGAGACTCTGTCAAACTTGGGGGTTATTCCCATTTCAAGGACACAGCTTCTAGTGGGCTACAGCCTGTTGTTGCCGCTAGCCAGGTAGTGTATGCTGTGACAGACATTAAACTAGAGTAACTTTCACTAATATGTGGTTCCCTCCTCCTGCACGGTACACCAGAGAGGACTGACTGGCTACCTCTGTGAAATTTAGAATGGCCACGTGACTTGCTTTAGCCAATGACATGTAAGCTAAAGTGACATATGTCACTCCAGGAGGAAATATTTAACTGCTGGTGCTTGACCCTCTCTTCTTCTCTCTCTCACCTATATTGCGACCGTGGCTACACTTGTTGATGTAGAGGTGCAATATGGAGCCATCACCTGTAGGGCTGCTGTCCTGGACAAGCACCTTGATTCACAGTTGTCTTGTGTGGGTGAGAAATAAAACTTTCTCTTGTTAAGCCACTGAGTTTTGAGGACATTTGCAACTTTAGCATAACCTATCTTATCTTGACTATGATGTGTCAAGATAGGATAGGTTATGGCTATGCCTGAATGACTGTTTTCAAGAGAAGTTAGAAATTTAGATTTTTGTGTAAACTCTTTGATATGTTAAAAAAAAATTAAAGTTGAACCAACAAAGTCCAATTCAGTCTGCCAACTACTAGTCTGCAGTTTTGGGTTTGCGCAGGTTGACTAGAGAATGGGTCAATAAATGATTTTTCTATGTGCAGGAATCCTATCTAAATTCCTGCATTTTTAAATGTGTGACACATATTAGCTCTTGGTTACTCCTGGTCTTGCTGTTCATTAATATTCAGGTTATTTTCCTAACTACGTGGGGGGTGGGGACAGGTAAGGAATTATGTCTTAAACTTTGTGTACCTCACAGGCACACATTAGAGTTTCAATAAATTAGTATAAAGACTAGTTGATTACTCAGAATGATCATTTCCTCCTTTGATAGTGGAGGAACACCTTTGGGGAATTAATTATTTTGCCTTGCCATTGCATATTTTCTTGTTTGCAAAGAGCTTGGGATTCACCAATGCCTACTAAGCTTTAAAACATAATTGTCTAAATAAGTCAGAGATGAAAAATCCTATGTATTAAGCAGGGTTTTTCTAGTTGCAAGTAATAGGAAACCTAAATTCAAACTGTCTTGGGTAAGATATAATTTACTGATTGCTGTAACTAAAAAACCCAGAGGTAGGGAAAATACGAGGCACGGGAGGACTCAGGAACTCAGACTAAGCTACCTGAGCTTGATCTGTCTTTCCCTCCGGTGCTTGGCTCTACTCTTTTTTGCCTTAGCTTCACTCTCAATAGACTCCCTCCATGTGGTAGCTTCTGACAACTTCAGATCTAGTTTCCAGCAGCTCCTCTTCCTGGCAGATCCACAAAATTCCTACTTTCACTGGACTGACTTGGGATACTTGGCAATCTCTGACCAGCCCACTGTATTAATCAGGACTTTTCTAGTTGCAAGTGACAGGAAACCTAAATTCAAACTGCCTTCTGCTGGGCCACTTGTCCATTACTAAGAACCAGTGGTAGATGAGCTCCATCCAGGAAAGCAGGCCAATGTCTACATCAATGGGCCCCCTTATGGCCTCTTCCTCCAGCCAGTTCCAGAAGCAATGACTTTGTAGTGGGGCCTGGGCCAGGGGCAATGTGGTAGAAGGCAGGCCTTGAAGCCATGTTTATAAAGCATTCTATATAAAATTGAAAAAAAAAATCCACATCAAATAATGGAGGAGACCTGATGGCTATTATAGGGAAGTGGAGGGGACTAACGATCCCCAAGTTACCCCTTGGTGACATCCCTGTAGCATATTAATTTGTTGGGGAAGCAAAGGCCTAGGAGGACTACCAATGGCCCAGTCATATGCAAAGTAAGCGGTGGAGAGGACCAGCTCTAACCACGCCCACTAATTAGTCCCCACATGTAGATGAGTTTAGTGTTTTCAAAGCCCTAGACAAAGATGCATAAAGTAACACTGCCCCTTCAGTGTTTTCTTCCATATAAATGTCCAGGCCTCAGTCCCCGGCTGGGGGAGGCGGGCAATGTAAGACAGTTTCATAGTATCCAGTTTTGATCTTCAAGCAGCAGTAAAGATGTATGTAGTTGGTCTTTCTGATGCTGAGAGTCATGCTCTTCTACAAAACAATCAAATTACTATTCATTTTGCACTGCAGATTCTTTCAGGACCTTACTTTCTTTTTACTTCCTAACTTCATGTTTTGAGGGAGAGATCTGACTGTGAAGGTTAAACCGTTCAGGCAATGTCATCAAGATGTGATCTGCCCTTCCCTGCATAAGACCAGTGCTCTTCTCCAGAAAGATTGCACTGCACTGGGGAGATAAGAATAAAACCTCACCATGCTTGTATTGCAGAGACAGGCTCCTTTGGCTTTGCTTATTTGCTCCCATCTGTCTCCAGTCTTGTTGTTTCTTTCACTCTGAGCATCTGCACTCCAAGAAGGCATGAACTTTTTCTTTCACTTCCTTTATTCTTTGGGTGATGACCTGACATCACTCTGAGAAGGAGGCTGCCAGTCACTGAATATAAACACTGTCACCACTGTCTGGCTTAGGCAGAAAGGTAGGGGGTTGGCTGAGCGCACAGCGGGTCTGGAGGTAGGAGATGCCAACCGCGGTGTCAGGGTCTCATGTGCCACGTGTGCCTGAGGGCTCTGGCCTTTACATACTGGGCACCATGGAACACATTTCCTCTGGGGCCTCCTTTAACGTCTACCAATCTGGGAGGATGAAAGGTGGGAGTAGAGTTGGCAATGGAAGTTGTCCTGGCAAAGAAGACAATTTGGGGTGGGCGGAGGGCTGGGTCTGCTCTCTCGGTGAGAGGAAAGGAGAGGCCTGAAGGAGTGGCACAAAAAGCCCGTGGGTCACCAGGAAAGAGAAAACGGGGGCGGGGGGCGGGCTCAGGCTGCAGCCCCAGAGGAGGGCAGGCCTCTTACCGTGAATGACCTACGGGCTTTAAGGGCACCTATGGTTGTCAGGTGGGCTAGTGGGTGGGGGTAGAGGCACCCATATGCCTTAATCTTCTGCTCGTCCTTGTCCATGGGAACATAAAACCGGCTTGCGAGATCATTTCCTCACTGACTCAGTCGTGAAGTGTCCAAGAATGAAAATGTGCTGAAATCCTCTCTCTCGGTCTGCAAAAAAGCGCTAAGAACTGAGGAAGATGGGTCAACACTGGCTACACTATGCTTCAAGGGGCTTTCGACCTGTCCCGCCGCCGCCTTCTCATTTCTCTCTCACTGTTCCCGAGCCGCGGCTTCTCTCTCGAGGTGGCCGCCGGGCGGCTGTGCGCGGGGGATGCTCTTACATAACCGCTCGCCGCGTCCTGCTCTCTCGCGTGCTCCTGAGCCGCGGGGTGGGAGAGCCGGGGATTGCGATGGGGCCCCGGCTGGTGCTGCGGGGCCCGGACCGCCCCTGCGGGGAGAGGAGTGCAAGAAGCCGCGGGAGGAGGGCGCGAAAGGCGGCGGGGGAGGTGAAGGTCAGTGGGTGTGAAGCGCCAGATCCACACCCCCCTCCTCCCCTGTCCCCTCCTTCCCTTCCTCTCCGTCCCCCTCTGACGTCTGGAGCTGCTGGCAGCTCGGGCTGGTTCCGCATTCCCGACCCCTCCCCGCCGCCCAGGGGCCGCTATATAGCCGGGGCTGATGCAACCCGTCCCGCCGCCCGCCACAGCCTGCGGGAGGGACGCTCGGCGGCCGCGACGGGGGGCGCTGGCGGCGGCGGACGCTGCAGCGGCGGCGGGGCTGGCGCCGCGGCGGCTCCCGGGCCGGGACGGGCCTGGGCACCGGGCGGAGCTCAGCGGCTGGGCGGCAGCAGCGCTGAGTGGGCACGGCGCCTGCAGCCGGGCCCCGGCCCCCGGGGTGCCGCCTCCGCCGGCGGCTTCTGCACGGTGGGTGCGTGCGTGCGTTGGGGGCACCCGGGCCGGGCGGGGTGGGGCGCGCGGGCCGCGGGCACCTGGGATGACCGCCCCCGCGCGGGCGGATCGCGCGGAACCCCGGAACCCGCCGTCCTGCGGGGAGGCTCCCGCAGCTCGGGGACCCCGAGCTATCCCGGCGGGGGGTGGGGGCGCTGCAGCCCGGGCCGTTCCCGCGAAGCGCCTGGGAGCCGGTGGCTTCCTTTGGTTCCCGCCCTGGGACGGGAGGCTCCGTCCGCAACTGGGGCAGCCAGGGTACTCCCTCAGTCTCCCTCCCGCGCTCTCCTCCCCCGTGCGTTTGCAGAGAGGTGCTCTCCTTGAGCGGCGGGGAAGGCGGGTGAGTGGGGAGAAAACTGCCCGGGGAAGACATGCCTTGGGGTGCAGATGGAGAGTGAAAGGCCAGGGAGGTGCTGGGTGCTGGTGTTGGTGCTGGAAAGATGTCAGCGACCTGCTGGCAATTCGTGCCGCCCCCACCCCTCGCAGGGAGGAAGCGTGGCTCCTTGAGGACCTGGGAGAGGACTTCTCTCAGGGCTATTGCTCTGGGGTTCTGGGCTGGGAGGAGATCTAAGGGTGGCCCGGGTCCCCTTTGCGTTCCTCCAGCTTCCAAGTCAGGTTACATAAGGAGGCATGCCGGCCCTTCTAGGTAACCAGCCCCTCCTCCCCTGACCAGCCGAGTTTAGGACGCTCTCTTATGCCCCTCCCCTCAAAGGAGGCTGAGGGATTGGGCCTTAGGCCTGGACCCCAGACCCTGGGAGGGGCCGGAAGATGGGGGGGCCTTGGCTCTTCTGCTGGGATGGATGGGCCATGAGCGCGGCTGGAAACCGAGAGGCTGGTGGAAGGGAAATTAACTGACCCTTTGGGTCAGCTCCACTTGCAAGGTTGCCTGACCCTGGCTCAGTGTGCAGCCTTCCCTGCCGGCATCCAGGACATCAGGCTGTCCCGACCACTTGTACTCAGGGGAGCCCAGGCCTGTCTCTCAAAAAAGGGCTTGCAGACTGTGGGTATGTATAGCCAGGTTGAAATCTTGGTGGCCTCTCCTCAGGGTCTTAGTTTGAAGAGCATCAGAAACTGAAGCTTTGAACCAAGATTGCCTGCCTGCTTGTCCTTTAAGGCCTTGCTATGAATTGCGTTCACATATCAAACTCCCCCCAATCCCGACCCCATGCCTCCAACCTTCCTTCCCCTAAGGTATTTAAAGACACCCGCCGTTGCTTTAATCTTTCCAGCAAATCTGGCCTCGGCTTTGATGGCTGCCTGATCTTCCTTTGCAGATTTCTAGGGGAGTTTAACCAGGTATCAGGTGTGAGCATGGCTCTGATTAACCTGAGGACCAGGGAAGAGAAGCAAGGTCTATTCTCTTGCCTTTGGCTGGTTAAGGTTTTACCTGGTTTCAAAGAGGGAGGACGGATTTCTCAAAGACTCTTCTGTTCCCCTTCTCCTTTGGCTTTGGTTCAGAGTTGCAGGCAGCTCCAGAATCTTCCTAAAGAGCTGGGTGCTGTTGAGATTTGAAAGGCTGCTGGGAGACATGGGTGTGGAGGCCTTTGACTTTCCTCCTAGGTTGTTTGCGGCCACCTCCTAGGAGATGTGCTGATAAGTGGAAACGGTGTGCCCTAGGGAAGGATTTGGACCAGGATCTCCTCCCTCACTCACTGCCTAGCTTTTGCAGCCACCCGCATCTGTCTCCCCCACCTGTTTGCAGGCTGTGTGGGCAGCTTTTCCAGCCCTTGGCAGGATGAGGAGGGCTAGGCTCTCCAGGCCTTCTTTGTCGCAGGGCTGCTGGTGTTGCAATGGGCTGTCTCTCTCCCCAGTGTTTCTGTTTTCCAGCTCTGCTTGGGAAGAGCGGGGCCGTGTAGACTCTAGGTTGGCCTGCTCTGTATTCATTCAGCTCCAGCTCAACTTGAGCAATCAGAGAGAGCCAGGGCTAAGGGCTAGCAACATTCTTTTCTGTTTTCTGTTGCAGGATGCTGTTTGCTTTTTTCCATGCGAATGAATTATGTTTGAAACTGAAATGGGAGGAAGAGAAAAATAGAGTGAGTGTGTATGAATATGTGTGTGTGCATACCTATATGAGCAGGGGGAGAGCAGCAGGCACATTATTTTTCCATTTTCCTTTAATTAAGGCTCTGTGGAGGTGTGTTTGAAAACAGAGGGTCTCCTATGCCTTTGAGGAGGGTGAGAACACTGTTTTGGCTGCGTCCCGGGCCATATGCAGCGTATGGTGGCCAATGAAACTGGGCCTGGCTCGTTCTGTTGCTTGTCTTGGCAGTCGGTTCCGTGGCTTGTGTTACCAGCTCTGGAACTTACGGGCTGCCAAGCTCCGTGTGCCTGTGTGTGTATGTGTGTGTGTTCACTCTTGTGCGTGTGTGTGGTTTGGCCTCTCGAAGCTCAGCAGAGACAAATGCCTCAGCGACCCAGGGTTGGAATTTCAGCCTGTGTTTCTTTACACTCATTGCTGGCTGTGGGAGGCCCAGCCAGAGCCCACCATTCTGGGGATTTTTTTTTTTTTTCTGGTCTGGTTTTTTTCCCCCCGGCAGCCCATGGGACTCCAGTTGTGGAGCTTCGTTTCCAAAGCTTTAGCTGGCTAATGGCATTTTAAAAAGGGGGCCGAAGGATTCATCACACACTCTGTGCGTATGTCTGTGGAATGTTTCATGCTATGAACTCCTGACACCAAGGACCAGAGACAGGGTGAAGAGGGAAGAGAGCACAGAGGCTTCTTGGATGGCAGTAACGTCCCAGCTTCATGTTGCTGCCCGGGATAAGGATTCCTGGCAGAAGTAACTTGCTATGTATTTATTGAGCACCTACATCAGGCAGGGGTGACAGTGCTTAGACTGGGCCTTGTTGAAGGCATTTCTCTGGTCTCCCGGGAAGTCCCTTTCCTGAGAAGGGGTTCCAGTTTGTCCTACGCAGGGATCATGCATGCCAGGGTGCTGTGGTGGTGGCTTCTCCTGACCACTACCACCCCCCTTTTTCTTCTTAGGAAGATGTGAGGAGTGACCCCCTCTAAGCAGGGCAAGGATAAAGTAGATGGAAGGACACAGACAGTGCGGGCCCTCTGCTTCTGGAGGCAGGGGTGGAAACGCAGCCAGTTGGTGGTGCCAGTGATCTATGCAGCTGCGTTCTGGAATGTAGGATGGGGGAGACCTTAGGAGAAACTGGGGCAAAGGGCAAGTGCTAGGCCTCATTTCTGCACCTTTGCACACAGCCCTGACCTGGCCCCTTTGTTTCTGTTCTGCAGTAACTACCCGGATGCATGATGGTCCTGGCCCCTTAGGGTAAAGAGCTGGAAATTAGGAGAGCAGAGAATCCTCTGGGGGAATCCTCTTTGTGGCCGTAGGAAGAGGAGGTCAGTGGTAGGTGGGAAGGGTACAGAAGCGACTTTGAGGGCTTGTCCAGCACTGGTGTCCTCCAGGAAGGAAGGCCCTGGTGGTTGTACTGACTTCATACTCCCTTGGGGCAGGCGCTGTTCCAGGTACTTTCCAAGTTGTCACTAATTTAATCCTCTCTGCAGACTTACAGGGCAAATGACATTATTATTCCCACTTTACAGCTGAGGAAAGTGAGGCACAGAGAGGTTAGGGAATGTGCCCAAGGTCACACAGCTAGTAGAGGAAGAGCTAATTTTCCCATTCAGACGATATGGCTCCAAAGCTCCCACCCATAACGTGCTCGCTCTCCGGCCTGTAGAGCTGGGAGAGGGGCAAGCTCTCCCCTCGCGAGAGGGGCTGTTGCTGCTTGTCCTTGTTCTCAAGTCTTGGTGCCTCTCTGCCCTGTTGCTCCATGCCTTCTGATTCTCCTTGTCTTTTAGCAGTTATGTAATTTCAGATTCCAGGGGAGAGATCATCCCAGTTAATTCCTTATCTCCAAGAACAGGTTTGCTGTTTAAGTCTCCAAGATTCATGATAGTACTATTCTCTGTGATCGCCTGGCACCTTTCTGCGCTGCTCCCCTGTGGCTCCCCACCGCCGCCCCCCCTCACCCCCAACACACATTTTCCTCCTGGGAATCTTCCCAGGCCCCAGCTCTCAAGACCTCCCACCTGCTCTTGGTAATTCCCAGGTGTGTGCTCACAGCTCCCAGTTCCAGTTCCGCAAGTGCTCCTGGGGCCTGATCCTGTGAACTAACTCCCTGGCCCCCGCCCCCCCCCTCACCTGTCCTCACTCACCTCCGCTACTTTAACCCTTGCAGCCTTAGGCTGCCTGCACTCACTTGCCCACGGATTCCTGGCTCCAGATGCCAGCCGAGGCCAGCTGTTTGCCTGGAGGGGAGCTAACCTTCTCAAAGAGGCCCGGGAATTTTAAGGCCTCCCTTGCACTTTTGTTTCTATGGAGAGAAAGTTCATGATGCAGATTCTAACTTTCTCTTAACCTGCTCTCCCCCCCTTTTTTTATCTGTCTTTGCCATTCCAGATGAAGATGCCAATGATTGGGCACTTTCTAATAAAAATAACCCTTTACAAGTTTGACCCATCGAAGCAAGACTGTTATTTGTGGATAGTCCCATTAAAAAATTATGATATCTCACAGATTTACATACAGTAAACGAGAAGAAAATAAGAGGGAAATGCTTAAGTTCCTTCTACCTTTTTGTTTGTTTGTTTCAGCTGAAATGATGTTTTATGTTACTATCTCCCAGTAGGGTCCATTTCTGGACTTGAAATGTTTCCTGGCTTTTCCTCAGCTTGCACAAGACAGCGCCCCAAACTGTGTGCCTCTGAGTTCCTGAGTAAGTCAGAAGAGAGAGAGATACTGATGTCAGATCTTCAGGTTCTTTCCTCATGGATCCATCTGGTCCCTGTTTCTCTCGAGCTGGCTTATAGGGACTTGCATCAAATTACTCAGTCTTGAGCTCAACAACAGCTTAGGACCCACTGTGACCTCCTGTACCCTTTCTCTCTCACTCATGCCTTGCTTGTCCGTCCCATCTTGATCTGTGCATACCCAGTTTTTTTCATTGGCTAGTTTCCAGGTTATTCCTGGTCAGTATCCCAAATTGCCAAAGTCTTTGGATTCTAGGCCTGTCTTAGAGGCACAAGCTTCATTCGCCCATTTTGGTCTCCTGCCAGTGTATAGCGCTTGCTCTCTATTTATGCATCCTAGTTACTAATGGAGACATGGAGGGTGTTTATCTTCCTTTTGGACCTCCTGGGCCCTGAAGGGGGGGGCGCGGGGAAAACTCTGGGTTCTTCCCCTAAAGCTTTTAGTGCCTAGTTCTCCTTTTCCTCCTAAATTGTTTCCATATGGAACAACCAGTTTGGGAGATGATTTCACCTCTTGTCATCTTTCCTGTCTTCCTTGAAGTGGGTAAATTCCTCTTGGCTGTTACTGGTTCCCTGCCACTACCCCCCACCCCTTCTCTTTTTATAGATCTCTAAATCACATCAAATTGTTTTTATTTTTCATATCACCAAAGTTGCCTTTCAGCCTTGGATTGTCAGCCAGCTCTTTCCAGTTACTGAGGATCCAGTTATGGAAGGCAGCCTCTCCACCTCCTCCCTCTTCCCCCTGCCCCTCCCCCAGAGCCGGTTAGGATGACTTCTCACTCGTGAACGTCAGCTGTTGTGGTTGTCTCCTAGGAATGGCATGTGTTAAGGACTTTGTGGTTTGTATCTGAGCAGTTAGGGGCGCCCTTGTGGGGGAAGGAAAAAGGGGGATTTTTTGCTTCTGCAAAGGAAAGCCTGGAGCCTGATCCCCTGAGTGAGGTTGTTGTTGGGCTGGGTTCACAGGGAATCAGGAATGGCAAGAATTTATGGGGCTGCTGCTCCCACGGGGTGGTTACCCCTCTTGGAGGGGGGTTCCACAGTAGCAGATATTTTGGGATCATTTGTTAGTGTCTCATTTATACCATCTGTATGAAAATAAACAGAAGCTGCAAGCAGAGCCTATCATTCCCGGAACAGAGTGGGGTCTGGCTTCCATCTCTCAGAGATGGCTTAGGCGGGGAAACACACAGAAGCCTCTGGAGTGTTTTTCTTGGGGTCTACTGTGGGAACGGATAACCTGGAGGTGGATAATGAGCATCTGAACTGCCAGAGACGGATCCTAACCCCACGCATTGAATTTTGCTCTGCCATGAATGTGTTATTGTTCGTTCAGTCATTCGTTTATTTATAATTCAGTAAGTATTTATCGATTGCCCTCTTTATGCCAGAGATGATGCTAGGCACTGGGGTCACATGGGGCAACAACCAGTCATGCCTGCTGCTACCCCTCTGGAATCGCCCCTGCACTTGCTAAGGGCCACGTGGCACATTTTGCCACCTAGGGGTGGCTCCTTCCAGTTCAGGGAGGTCCTTGGGCTGCTGGCCAAGGAGGGGATTTTGGTCTATTTTTGCTTTGCTCCGTACCTGGGGTTTGTGTCCCGCTGAAGTGCCAGGCACAGAGCATTTTCCAGCCTCCTGTCTCCTGTTCATTTTGACTAGCTCAGTTAAGCATCCTTTTTGGGGTCATTGACTTCTTGTATCGTCCATTCAGGTCTGGAAGAGGGGATTTTGTAGGGTTTTCTCTTCTGAGAAGGAAATGTGAGTTTCCGTTGTCAGTTTGGCTCAGGTGGCCTAAAGTCTCCCTCTTCTGCCTGCCAAATGTCCACACGGCTGGACCCAGGCATCCCTTTGCCACACAGGAGTGAGTCCTTCTATTGGCCCTTTCCTTGTTTTCCCTGGGGAGATGTGCAGCTCATCTGTCATACCTGGGGCAGCCTCCTGATGTGGCCCCTTGTAGCCCTCTGCATCGCAGGCCCAGCACCAGAGCAGGGAGGGAGGACTCTCCCCCTGACCCTGGACTTAAGTCCAACTCAGATTTAGGGAGGGTCACAGCATATTGACCCACCACATGTGAGATGTCTCAGGGGCCATTTCTATGTCTGGGCTCCCACCCAAGTTGCTATTGGAAGGCCATTCCTTCTGCACTGACATCTCTTGGAACCCAGGAGGAGAAACTAGGGCAGGTGACGAAGCTTTGGTTCTAAAGTCCAGAGGCCAGGAGTCCAGCTCTGGCTCTTTCCCGCTCTGGCTGTGTGACCTTGGACAAGTCATTCAACCTCTCTGAGCTTCAGTGTTCTCACGTGCAAAATGAGGATGTGGTTTAGATAAGCACAGGGCCTCTTCCAGCTCTAAGACTGTAACGTAGTGTGAATGATTCTCAGATCCTTTTCTGAGATGGCCTGGGGGGCGCTGGGTGGTAAGGAGGCGCGCTAGAAAGGATGTGTCTCTTCACTCATAGTATTGTCGGTGGTCAACAGTCAGATGGCTGGCTGGGTGGGTGGGCGGATGGATGGATGGATGGATGGGGGGGAGCCCTGGAAGGGACCAGATAAGTCTGGCTTTATTGGAAGACAAGCTGTCTGCACTGTCATCGGTGCCTTGAAGTGACCATTTCTTATCCACGAGCTCCTTCCAGTAAAGAGTGGGAAGAAATAAGAATTCTGGTATTGACCTAATTTATGTCTTTGATGCCTGAGTCTTTCTTCCCTTGCAAACCTTCTGGGCCTGGCGCAGTCAGAATGCGTGTTTGCTTTGAGAAAGAGGAGACTCTGGAGGACTTGTCGTACTGGTCTCCACTGGGAAAGCACATGCTAATTAATTCCATCTCTTTTGCCTCAGATTCTTCCATCATAGATACCAGAGGCGCACACACACATGCTCACCTTTAACTTCGATTTGCTTCATTTCATATTCAGGGTGTCTTAACAAGTATGCAGAACGGGATGTGTGATTTGAGAGGAGGCACCATGCCAGACCAAAAATAGCTCCCTCTTAAACAGGTGCAAAGGTGCTTGAGATTCCATCGTTATAATCCGTTCTCTTGGGAGGCAGTGCCTTACAGTTTAAATCCCAGCTCGTCCTGTTTTAACTGTGTACGGTCTTTGAGCGAGTTATCTTACTAAGCCTCAACTTCTTCCTCTGTGTCATGGGCACTGACCCAGTCTTATGGGTCTAACGGGAGGATTATGCAATGCCAAGCACAGAGCAAATGCGGAATCGATGAGCCGACGGTTGGATGAAGCCTTACCTTAAGTGCCAAGGATAACCTCGATGTGAATTAATGGGTTACGTTTCCCTCTATAACAAATGGATCTAAGGGCAGAAAGAGCCACTGGGTCGGGCAGGGGTTTGGGGGGGGACGTTAGTGAAAGAAAAGATGAGGTCCTGGCAGGACATGGGGCTGAAGCCCTCGTGGCATCTCCTCTGGTTGACAGCGCATGTCCTGCTCTCCTCCCGCCTCCTCTAGGCTGCATTGCCGCTCCCCCTGCTATGATGCCAGGGCAGATCCCAGACCCTTCCGTGACTGCGGGCTCTCTGCCCGGGCTCGGCCCCCTGACCGGACTCCCCAGCTCGGCCCTGACTGCGGAGGAGCTGAAATACGCCAACATCCGCAACATCGGGCCCATGATCGCCCCCTTGCACTTCCTGGAGGTGAAACTGGGCAAGAGGCCTCAACCCGTGAAAAGTGAGGTGAGTCTTGTTTTCCCAGGCAGAACCCAAGGGTAAGACGCCTCGGTTAGAGCCCCAGGTCTAACCCTACACCCGCCCGCCGTGGGACCTAAGTGTTGCTGTTCAACATGGGGTCCGAGGACCAGGAGCATCCATGCCTCCCCATGGTGTGTTAAAAATGCAGAATCTCGGGCTCCACCCTAGACCTTCTGAAACAGCATCTGCATTTTTGTAAGTTCCCCTGGGGAATTCAGGGACACGTTAAAGTTTGAGAAGTCCTGGGCCGGGGCAGGACGCTGAACCTGTCTTTGGTTCTTTGAAAAGCAAGGGAAGAGTGATTAATAACCATAATGAGTAATAATATTAGCAATCTCTCGGGTGTGTTGGGAGTTAATGGAACTGTGCACAGGCTTTGAAAAACATACAGGAGAATATCAATATTGGGTTATCTTTAAAAATTATCATTCATCATGTCATCGTTCTAACACCCTTGGCCCCAGGCTACAGCTGCACGTGGGAACTGGGAGGAAGGATGGCACGGCCTTTCTTCCCAAGGAGGTGCCGGAGCTGCGCATGGCCTCAGCCACCCGTGGTGGTCGGCCTTAGATGCTGGCAGGGGACCCACACGTGCAGCGCTCCCTCCTCAGGTTCCTTGCGGCTGCAGCTCTCACAAGCCTTACTTGCAGCAGAGTGGCTTTTCCCTGGGGACTGGTGAGAAGCAGAAGTGCCCAGCACAGCGTGGGTGCACATTAGTGCTGGGAATGCCCCCAGCCACTTCCCCAGCAGGGCCATTTCCAGGTAGAATAGCTGCCCACCTGGAAGGGAGAAGGAGCCAGTGGTGGGAGGCGGAGAGGTGGCTGGGGGCGGAGATGGGGGACAGGACTCGGGAAGCAGCCAAGTTATCAGGTGCTTAGTAGCTCTGATGAGAAGGAGTGTTCACAGGCAAAGGCGCCCTTGTGTGGGGGCTCAGGCTTTAGGATGGAGCTCGGAGGGCTAGACATTCCGAAGAGAGGGGCTCTTGCGTGGAGAAGGGTGTCTGGGTCCTGGCAGGGGGAGTGGGGTACAGGACGCAGCTGCTGTGTGGCCCTCCTCCCGGGAGTACCATTGAAACTGCAAAGAAGGGCTGCTGGGGGCCTGGTCAGGGGTGGCAAACTGGCCATTCACATCCTGGATCTGGCTCTCAGCTGTGTTTTGTTTGGCCTGCGCAGTGTTTTAAAAGAAACTTGAACCAACACTTCACTTAAAAAGTTGGATTTTAATCTTTGATTAAAAAATCAGAAGACCTGGTTATACCTGCCTGGTCCTGGCGCGGCATCAGCGACACGGGCTGCAGAGAGTCTGCTTTCCTCTTTCCGATTTGCCTCAGGCCCCCACGCCTCCCTATTATTTTATTTTATTTTATTTTATTTTTACACTGTTGGTTTTGTTTCTGTTACCACCAGCTGCTTTCATTTACCTTAACAGTGTGGCCCCTACTGTAGACATTTGCACTTCAGACACCTGAGTTAGATGCACTGCAGATGCCCACTAAAGACTGTTGATTTCAAGATGAGAGTTGATGGTAATTATGTTCTTGTGAGTTGACTTTGCAGATCAATGTGCTGTCGATAGCACTGCCTGGCTTACTTAGAATTCTGTTTTCTTTTTGGAGAGCCCTTGTCTTTGGTCCTCTGTCATTCACCTTCCCAGGCGCATAACTTGAAAGTACCTGCTTCTGGGTCGTTCCGCAGTGTAACTGCCATTTAAAATCGGTACCCGAGCAGTGTTCCTGGGCTGCAGAGGATGCAGCATTGATGAAAAAAGTCTTAGATGGGGCGGGGTGTCCAAAGAGTTGCCTGCAGGGTGCAGTTACCACATCTTCTCTCTGCAAAAGGTGCTGGCAGCGCCTTCTTTTTTGGGAGGACAAGGTTTTTATTTGGGTCGAGTATTTTTACATTTCACAGCCTCCCCCAACTTGTGGCACATGCCCTGTACCTGACAGCGATGTGCTGTCTTCACAGGCGCCCACAAACACACACCATCCAGGCCACGAAAATAACCAGCCGGTGTTAGGGCCGATTTGCATGTCCTCTCCCTCCTGTCAGACGGCAGCATTGCGGGGGGAGAAGCAGACTGTGCTGGCGTGAAGTAAAAGTAAGGTCGGCCCTGCACTGGGAACTGACCTCCAAATGCTTCCTAGGTCAGACTCAAGGCGGGTGGGTGGTTGGGGATGGGGGTGCTCCATCTTAGAGCGACGATGCAGCTGGAGAGAGAAATTTGCTACCGCAGAACCCAATGTCCCAAAGATGTATTTGCACATGGTAAACCACCTCAGGTGGATTTTCACATAGGCATTTTAGATTAGTAAAGTTGCTTGAATTACAAAAGACACTACCCATGTGCATTAAGCGTCGACTATGTACCAGGCCCTGTGCTGTGTGTTTAACATGGATGATCTCGTTTATTCCTTACCTGATCCTGGCGACTGGCTTTTTCCCATGTTAGAGGAGAGGAATATGAGTGAGGTCCAGGGAGGAGGGGACAGTCCAGTCACCCAGGCTCCTGGCACTGGAAAGTGGCTCTGGGGTGATGAAACGAGGCTGCTGCTGAAATAGCCTTGTCTCAGTTGCGCTGAGCCAGGCACCAGGCATGGCGCTGTGAAATATCTCATCGGACTTGCGCAAGAACCCTTGGAAGTAATTATTGTTACTATTGTTATTGTTATGCCCACATGATGGATGAGGGTAACAAGGCTTGGAGAGGACCAAGGTCATGCAGCTGGGAAGCTCGCATCAGAGCCAAAACGTTAGTTAACCTTATGCTGCGGCTGCCTCCCTGTCAGGCTGAGGAAGGGGGTGGGGTGGAACGAAGCCGGCCTCAGAACACTGGATCATTTTGATGACACGGCCCGATTAGCGCTGAGCCCGGCAGTTCTGGGGCTGCGTTGTCTCCCAGGGCCTGGAGAGAGAGTGGGCCGAGCCGCTGTGCAGGCAGCTCTGGCTGCACGGGCTCGTGGACTGTCCACCTTGCAGAGGACAGCAGTCTCTTGGGCCAGATGCAAACGCATGAAGCAGTTTGGTAAAAGAAAGCTGGAAGAATTAAGTAAAACGATAGGTTTGTAAATGATAGGTACCATGTGCTGTTGTTATTACTATGTGCTTGACATGTAATGCTAAGCTGTTTTGGTACCATCTGCTTGCCGTAGTCCATTTGTCCAACAGATACTTGCTAAGCACCTACCTACTATGTGCAAGGCTCTGTGCCAGACACTGGGAACTGAACCATAAACAAAGTAGATAAGCTCCTCCTCTGCCTTTTTCTTGGAACTGTTTATTTTAGTGGGGGCATCGAGAAATAAGAGTAAGCAAATTAATATACAGTAGGAAAGACTGGCTATAGTATTGTGAAGGAAAATTAAGCAGACCAAGTGGATGGTGAGTGGCCATACTGTTGATTTTGATGGTTGACTAGGATCTGGGGGTATGTTGTGTGGGTTTTGGAATTTTTAGAGCCCATGCTCTTTCTTGTCTTTTTCTCTTTTTTAAATGGACTTTACTGGGGTGACATTGGTTAATAAAATAATGTAGGTTTCGGGTGTTACAATTCTATAATACAGAGTCTGGTAGAAGTAATGCTTGCTCGAGTGTGTTTGGTAGGGTATGTGAATGTCTCGCACAAGATGGGCACCAGTTTGGACATTTCACCTAAAATGTCATATAGTGTGCTTAAGTGTGATATTGTTATATTACAGTATTAAGTGCTTATGATTTTGTAACAAAAGATTTTGTAATAAGAAAGGGGCATTATTTGTGCTGGACCCTGTGTATCATCTGTATATTGTCTTGCATGTTCACCACCCCAGGTTAAGTCTCTTCCCATCACTGTTTATCCCTCCTATATCCTTTTCTACCGCCCCCAACCCTTTTTTCCCTCTTCTTTCTTTCTTCCCTTTTTGTTCTTCTTTCCTTTCCCCTAGAGCTTTCCTTCCTACACTTTTTATTCTGTAGTCCGTTCCAGCTGGACTCCTCAAACAACCCCTACTGGCCTGAAGATTTTGGTCCTTCCTGGGTCATCTATGAGTGGGCTGCTGGGGCCACACCCTGTCCCTGGGCCTGGAATGCATTTTCAGCTCGGCTGCGGGGAAGGGGGAAGGCCAGAAGCTCTACCCTTGCACACACTTACAAGCTGGACACTTACCTAACCACCTGCTATGTGGGCCCCCTCACCCTCTGTGCCACTGCGGGGCTCTAGAGGATACTCAAGTTCAAGGGCGGTTGGACTGGATGACCTTTCAGGAAAGAGGCTGTAAACTGTCATTCCGTGAGCAGGAGTCAGCCTGCAGATGAATCTCGTTTGGCCCTCACACTGTGGGGGTTTTTTCCTTTTTTTTTTTTTTTTAATTGAATGAGTTGCTATATTTAAAAGCCAGGAAATGTGAACTTTCTGGCTTCTTTTTAAAAACCAGACTATCTGGCCACTCTAGGCCCACACCCTTACATGCAATGAAAGCTACAGCTGAGTACCAGATGCTCACAGTATTAGCATTACTTTACCACAGGTCCCACTACTCCCTGTTGCCTTATACCCAGCCCACTGCATCCTGTCTGTATCGCCAGCCTGTTTTGAGTTTGCGTCCTATGTTCAGATCCCAAGGACAGGGACTAGATCTTATGTTTCTTTTTACTTCCATCAGACTGTGTGCAGCATCTTGCACAGACTGTATGTTCAATACATGCTTGTTGTTTTAAACATTAATTAGCTCTGTCAACTTGGCAAATCACTTAAACGTTCTCTACCTTGATTTCTACCCCTCTGAATTCTTACCTCCAAGCGTTGTCCATTTGCTTTGCTGTTTCTGCACTTCAGTGACTTCAGGCAGAAAAAAAGGGCACAATGAAAAGCAAGGCAACCATTCCCAAACTTGGCTTATCATCAAATCGCTTGGAAAACTTCTTATAAATGCAGATTTCCAATACCCCGCACCCCTGCCCCGGGGCCCATGGACTCAGAATCTCTGAAGGCAGAGTCTGGGAATCTGCGTG